CAATGTCATAAAACAACATGTGTACTTCTGTTTCATGAGAAACTATTTGTTCTGTAAGCCTTCACCTGAAGTACAATAAAATATATATATATATACATATATATTTGACTTCCAAAAAAAAAGAAGAGAATCAAGCAGAGACATACGGGAACCTCACACTGCCAAGAAAGCAGTGCCGGGAGCAGAGCACATCCTTTGGACCTGAGGTTCCTGTGCAGAGAAGCTCCCAGACCAAGGGAAGATTGATGACACAGACCCTACTCCGGAGCTGACAGAGAAAGCCTTCCCCTGGAGCTGATGCCTTGAATTTGGACTTCTAGCCTACTAGGCTGTGAGAGAGTGAACTTCTCTTTGTTAAAAGCTGTCATGCATTGAATTGTATCCCCCTAAAATATCTGTCAACTTGTATGTCAGTCATACAATTCCCAGTACTGTATGATAGTGTAACATTTTGTAATCTAATGTGATTTCCTTATGTGTTGTAAACTCTATCACTATGATGTAATAAAATGGAATAGCGGCAGTTATGTTGATGAGGTCTACAAGATTAGATAGAGTCTTAAGCAAATCTCTTTTGAAAAATAAAAGAGAGAAATGAGCAGAGAGACATGGGGATCTTATACCACCAAGAAAGCAGCACCAGGAGCAGAGTACATCCTTTGGACCTGAGGTTCCTGCACTGAGATGCTCCCAGACCAAGGGAAGACTGATGACAAGGACCTTCTTCCAGAGCCAACAAAGAAGAGAAAGCCTCCCCCTGGAGCTGACACCCTGAATTTGGACTTGTAGCCTACTGGACTGTGAGAGAATAAATTTCTCTTTGTTAAAACCATTCACTTGTGGTGTTTCTGTTAGAGCAGCACTAAATAATTAAGACAAAAGCCATCCACTTGTGGTATCTGTTGGAGCAGTACTAGATGACTAAGACAAGTACAATAAAAAAATAAAAAATAAAAATTTGGTTTCCATTCAACCCTTAGATAAAAATCAACTCCTGATGGGTTGTATATCTAAAGAGGAAAATAATATTATAAAGTTTGTAGAAATTAATGCAAGAGAATATCTTCATGACCTTGGAGCACTATAAGATTAATGAATTTAGATATAAAAAGCACTAAACATAGAAAAGATTGACAAAAAGCTTAAAATGAAGAATTTACGATTACCAAAGGAGCCCACTCTGAGAGTAAAAGGCAGGAGGAGAGGATGTCTGCAATGCATATCAACACACAAAGGCACTGTATTCACAACATACTGAGAATTCTTACAACTCCACACACACACAAAAAAAAAGATAATGGGAAAAATAGACAAGAGACCTGAACAGACACTTCACCACAAGGATATATAAACGAACAAGTAAAAATATGCTTAACCTCATTAATCATTAGAGAAATGCAAATTAAATGCATATTGCAAAGGAGGGCTGGACACAGAGTCTAGAAGAGTGAGGACAGACTGGTACGCACCTACACCTCTGTATCGGTTCTCCACCTGTTACCAATGATAATCTTTAGAATGTGATGACTACTGCTTCACTTCATCCTTCCAATTTTCATGCCATTTCACTTTTGGCCAACTTTAATCAGGAACCATATAGACAAGAACACTCTAGGAGATATTAAAAAAAAAAAAAAACCCACTGCCAACGAGTTGACTCCGACTCATAGCGACTCTGTAGGACAGAGGAGAACTGCCCTATAGGGTTTCCAAGGTTGTAATCTTTACGGAAGCAGACTGCCACATCTTTCTCCTGCAGAGCAGCTGGTGAGTTCTAACCACCAATCTTCTGATTAAAAACTGATCGTTTTAACCACTGCACCAGAGAGCTCCTTCCTAGGAAATACAGTCCCCACTATAAACAGGTTGGCAACTGAACAATCCAATATATAGCACTATACACTCATCAGACTTGCTAAAATTAAAAAAGACTGATAATATCAAGTGTTGGTGGGGATGTGAAGCAAATTGAATTCTCATACATTGCTACTGGGAGTATAAATTGGTAGAATTTTATTGGCAAACTTTGGCAAGTTAAATGTGTATAACCTAACATTCAGCAAAAAAAGACGGGCATAAAATGTTCACAGACCCATTATTTTTAACAGCCAAACCTCAAACAACCCAAGTGACCATCAATGGGAAAATGGATAAATAAACTGTGATACAGTCATACCATAGAATTATAGAACTCAGTGACTATAAATGAACTACTGCTACATGGTGTAGCTGAATACACCACACAAACACAAAAGAATTAGTGCACAATTCCATCTATGTTAAGTTTAAAAACCGATGACATTAACTTATGGTGTTAAAAATCAGGTTAGTGTATACCTTTGGGTATACAAGGCAACTTCTAAAGTGCTGCCAATGATTTATTTCCTAACAGGGTCATGATAACATGGGCATATTTACTTGATGATCAATCCATTCAGACATACACTTATGATTTGTGCACTTTTCTGTATGTATGTACATTATGCTTCAATGAAAAAGTTTAAAAATAAAGAATAAATATTATAAACTACATGGTTGAAGTTTCTCTATCATGCTCTGGAGACACAAAGGAAAAAGTGTTAAATTATAGTTGAGAATTAAAGAGAAACATCAACAAGGAGATGGCAGCTATGAAACTTGAGGCAAGAAAGTTAGTTACGTTCACCAGTCAGAAAAGAGAGGAAAAGGCCTTACAGTCAGAGGAAACATAAAGGAAGCTTCAAAACAAGCCATTCATTCTTGGCCAGAAGAAAAGGGATTTACTGGGATAAAACAAAAACAAACAAAACAAGAAAACAAAAAGCAGGTGGGGACCAAACCTTAGAAAATGTATATGTTTAAATGGAACTTATTCCACAGGTAATAAAGAGTTCCTAAAATTTATATTTACATCCATCCATGTTATAGGACAATTACCCTGGCAACAATATACAAGATAGATTAGAAGGAATGGAAATAGTGGATAGGGAGATGAGTGACAAGATCCCTAAGTGAGAAGAGCTAGATGGTAAGAATGTGAGCCTGATCTGGAGAGTGCTGTGGCCACTAATACAGGGAAGGAAGCAATGGCACGACTCACGATTGCACAAAGCAGGTAAGTGAAATGGAGGGATCATTGGTATTGATAGCTACAGCTGACAGTTACTGAGAACTCACAGGCCAGACAACACACTAAGCACTCTTCATGAAGTTCCTCATTTATACCTCACAACAGAAGGTCTGGGTGATTTGGGGATGATAATTTTTCACATAATACCTTATTTAATAGTGTGGCATCTCTGCAAGTTAGGTATAATTATACTTAATTTACATTTGAGCTAGAAAAGTTATATGACATGTTATAGAGTCAATAAGTAATAAATAGAGCCAGGATTCAAACCTGAATAAGAGTCCCTGAAACAAAGTATGTACTTAGTAAATAGCACATAAATAAATAATCACTGAATGCATCACTGGCTGGCTGGATGAATGGCTGAATTTTCAACTACAAAGCCTAAATTCCAAGAGCCTATCTGGTTATCTCTTTGTAGCCTACCTGATTCCAAAGAGGTTTTAGGGCATTTAAGTTCAATCTGTAATATTCTGGAGAAGTAGTCATCTAGAAAAGACTAAAAACCAAACCAACAATTTTGATAAAAACACTAAATTTCAGAAAACTGCCAAGAGATATAAGTGCTCACTACTTGGCTGCTACTGAAACATAACCATCTAAGAGTGCTGAATGTATAGAACTAATTCAACTCTCCATATAAATTTGCCCCACAAACCCCAACTTTTCTACAGTTCTATCTACCACAATAAAAATGGAGTTACCTTCAATCTGTTTTCCTTTTCCCACACAATGGATTGAATGAGGGTAAAATGATTCATGGAAAACATAACCAAGATTATTAAAGGCATGAAGAAACCAGAAAAAGTAAAGAAAAAATCACGACGATATACTGGGTATGGAAATCTCTGAACAAAAATGCTGACAGAATTGAACAGCTCTTCTGCAACAAGGGTGTTATGATACAACATGATGGCCTTATCCACGGCATGTTGCAAAAGGAGGAACCCTTCACGGATGTACCCTAAATGAGAAAACAAAGATTGTTAAGTACATCAGACCAAGAAATAGCCGAGTAGAACAAATAAGGAAATTAAAGTATATCAATGACAAACAAAGCCAATTTTGTAACAAGACCATTCTCATAGTCTAATATTTACAGAGCAGCTATCAAGGTTTTACTACACAAATAAATAATGAATACTTTCTAAAACAAACCTAATTCCTAGCTTCCCAGAATTAAAATACTGTATGAAATTACAGAGCTGTTTTCTGCAACTTAAATCAACTGAAATGAATGAGAATTGAATTATTGGATAGGTAAAGACTTTGCTTCTGCGCCCTGGACTTTTAAAAAAGAAATAAAGCTCATAAAACAAATGATAAACAGACAGTTATGTGAGCTGATGGCCACTAAGGCAGAACTACTCCAAGTGTGGTCCCTGAACCTGTGCCAGTACGCAAGTTTCTTACTGGTTTATGAGTATAGAAATTAAGAATAACCATTTTAAAACTTTCATAGAAATTTATTAATTTATACAACCCACCCACTGCCATCAAGTAGATTCCGACTCATAGAGACCCTACAGGACCGAGTAGAACCGCACCATAGGGTTCCAAGGCCGTAATCTTATGGAAGCAGACTGTCGCATCTTTCTTTCGTGGAGTCACTGCGGTTTCAAATCTCTGACATTTCAGTCAGCAGCACAGTGCTTTAACCACTGCACCTCCAGGGCTCCTAATTTAAACAACTCCTTTATATATTATTATGAATTGAATGTGTGTCAGCTTGGCAAGGCCATGATTCCCAATATTGAGTGGTTGTTCTCCATTTTGTGAACTGATGTATTTAGCCTATGTGTTGTAAATCCTAACCTCTATGACGTTAATGAGGCAGGATTAGAAGCAGTTATATTAATCAGGCAGGACACAATCTACAAGATTAGGTTCTAGTTTGAGTCAATTTCTTTTGCGATATAAAAGACAGAAACAAGCAGAGAGGATAGGGATCACATGCCACGAAGAAAGAAGCAACAGGAATGGAGCGCATCCTTTGGACCCAGGGTCCCTGCACTGAGAAGCTCCTAGACCAGGGGAAGATTGATGACAAGGACTTTCCCCCAGAAACAACAGAGAGAAAGCCTTCCCCTGTAGCTGGCACCCTGAATTTGGACTTATAGCCTCCTAGACTGTCAGAGAATAAACTTGTTTGTTCAAGCCATCCACTTCTGATAGTTCTGTTATAGCAGCACTAGGTAACTAAGACGTACATTATTAATATGAATCCTGTGTCAGATGTACATATTGTGCATATTTTCTCCCCCTTTGAATCTTACCTTTTTATTTCTTTAACAATGTCTTTCATATGAACAGATGTACTTAATTTTAATAAAGGTCAATTTATCAAATTTTTTCTTTTATAATAAATGCCTTTCATGTCCTAATAAATCACTGCCTATCCCAAGATCATGAAGATATTCTTATAAATTTTTCTCTAGAATCTTTATGATTTTAACTCTTACATTTAAATTTATGATCATTTTAAATTAGTTTTTCTGTAGGGTGTGAGGATACCAAATTGTTCCACCACCATTTGTTGTAAAGACTTTTCTTTCTCCAATGAACTATATTGGCACCTTCATGGAAAATCAAGTAACTATTTCCAACATCTCACTCTTTCCACTGGTCTATTTTCTCATCCTTTACACTGATATGACAATGTCTTAATCACTGTAGCTTTATAGTAAGTCTTGAAATCAGGTAGGATATGTCCTCCAAAGCTGTTCTTCCTTTTCAAGATCATTTCGTCTATTCTAAATCCTCTGCATTTCTATATAAATTTCAAAGCTTGTCATTTTCTCCAAAAAAGCCTGCTGGGATTTTGATTATAAGAGCAATGACTATAGATCAAGTAAGGGAAAATTTACATCTTAATTTTCAGTCTTCAAATTTGGGTCTTTTTTAATTTTCTCTCAAATGTTTTAGAGTTTTTGGTGTAGATTTATAATTTTTTTTGCAGTGACTTTGTATCTTGGGATTTTACTAAATTAACACACTAGTTATAGTAGTTTTTTTGGTAGATTTTTCAGATTATCTCAACATATGACTGTGTCATCTGCAAATAAAGATAATTTTACTTCTTTCTTTCCAAATGTTATGCCTTTTATTTCTGTTTCCTTTTCTGGGACAGGCTAGGTCTTTTAGTAATATGCCGAACAGAAAAGATGAGAACAAATATCCTTGCTTTATTCCTGATATTAGGTGGAAAGTGTTTAATATTTAGCCAGCATGCTATAAGTTTTTCACAGATGTGCTTTATCAGATTGAGAAAATTCACTTTTATTGCTACTTTAGTTGAATTTTTAAATATACTTTTTATTTTGTAAAAAATTAGTTTTACAGAAAAATTGCAAAGACAGTACAGAGAATTCCTATTTACCATCCATTCTCAATGGAGGCATTACATAAACATAGTACATAAACAGATAGCATGTCTGTTTTAAAATTTCATGGACAGAAGCATTTGGGTAGAATGTCTAAAAAGGCTCATTACAGAGGCAATAACGAAAAAAAGGAGAAACATTTTAGAATACCCTGCAGCCAGCTTCTCTAATATTAACATCTTACACAACCACAGTACCTTTGTCAAAATCAGGAAATACTATTTATAATTATACACACTATATCTAGATTTCACTAGTTTTTCCCCAAGGTCCTTTTTCTGCTCCAGGATCCCATTCAGGATACTATATTGCCATTTGTCATGTCTCAATACTCCCCTCTCGTTTGTGAAAATTTCTCATTCTTTCCTCATTTTTCATGACCTTTGAATTTTTTTAAGGGTACTAGTCAGGTATTTTGTAGAATGTTCTGCAATTTGGGTATATCTGACGTTTTATTACTATCAGACTAGGGTTATGAGTTTTGGGGAAGGATACCAAAGGTGAAGTGCCCTCTTCATCATATGCTATCAGGGTGTATTTGGTATCAATATGACACCACTGGTGATGTTAACCTTGATCTCTTGGTGAAAACGGTGTCTGGCAGGTTTATCTACTTTAAAGTTACTATTTTTTCCTTTCCATACTCTTTTCTTTGGAAGCAAATCATTAAATCCAGCCCACATTCAAGGTTAGGGGGATTATGATCCACCTCCTGGAGGGGCAAGTATCTACATATATTATTTGGAATTCTTCTGTAAGGAATCTTTGTGCTTTCCCATCCATTTATCCATTCAATCATTTATTTATATCAGAATGGACTCATTGAAATTTATTTTATTCTTCGGGTTATAATCAATTACTATTATTATTTTGATCTCAATTTCTTTCAGTTTGGCCACTGGAAGCTCTCTTAGGTTGGCTCTTGTGTCTTTCTTGGCAGGCCCAATCCACCCATCCTTCTCCTTTTTTTTGGTTGTTTGTTTGAAGCGCATCCTTACTTTCTGAAACTACAAGATGCTCCAGGATTGTTTTGTGTTTTTGCTACCCCAGCCCTAAAATCAGCCATGTCTCTAAGGAGCCCTCATTCCTTTTACCGGAGAATGATATTGAGAAACCACAAATAGGCACTGGATGTGCTGGTTGATACTAACTTGTCATTACTTATAGGCCCTCCCAACAGACTGAGCTAGGAAATACATGTATTTTACATGTATACTAACTGACAGGAGCCCTGGTGGCACAGTGGTTAAGCGCTCAGCTGCTAACCAAAAGGTCTGCAGTTGGAACCCACCAGCCGCTCTGTGGGAGAAAGATGTAGCAGTCTGCTTCCTTAAAGATTACAGCCTTGGAAACTTCATAGGACAGTTCTACTCTGTAACACATGGAGTTACCATGAGTCAGAATGGACTCAACAACAATGGTTTTTTTTTTTTTTTTTTTTTAGAACACACATATCTATATTTCTGTATCTATCAATCTCTACCAAATAAATATGCATTCGTACTGATATCTCCATATCTCCACCTCTAATTTAGTACCATAATGTTCATTCTAGTCTTCCCTTTATTTGTAACTTCCTTCCCTGACAGTGAAAAACTTGAATCCTAAACGATACCCCATGAGAAACAAGTTTACCAATTACAGTATTTGTATATATTTATTTTGTGTTTAGCCTTATTGTATTCATTCAAAACAGAGTTTTCCAAAGTTACTTAGGTCACCTCCTTTTTCCACCACCTCTTCAATGAGGTTATTAACTGAATACCATGGACTGCCAGAAGAATGAACAAATCTGTCTTGGAAAAAAATACAGCCAGAATGTTCCTTAGAAGCAAGGATGGCGAGACTTCGTCATAAGTACTTGGATGTGTTATCTGGGGGAACCAGCCCCTGGAGAAGGACGTCATGCTTGGTAAAGTAGAGGGCCAGCAAAAAAGAGGAAGACCCTCAATGAGATGGACTGACACAGTGGCGGCAACATGACAACGACTGTGAGAATGATGCAGAACTGGGCAGTGTTTTGTTCTGTTGTACATAGGGTCACTACGAGCTGGAACTGACTCGACAGCACCTAACACAACTACAGGGTTTTAAATTGTACTTAGTGGGAGAAATAAGGAAAAGTCAGTCAACATTATCTTCCCAGAAGTGGAAATATTCAGCCACATGATGCTGTCCCAAAGCTCTTGGATATTGTTTTCTTTTTTTTTTTTTTCATTTGACATATATTCCTGTTCACTGATTTATTCCTTAGCCATTTTGAGTCTACTGATGAGCCCATCAAAGCATCCTTCATCCTGTTACCGTGTTTTTTATTTCTAATATTTCCTTTTGATTCTTATAGTTTCCATCTCTCTGCTGGAATTACCCATCTGATTTTGCATGTTGTCTACTTTCTCCATTAGAGAGTTTAACATATTAGCCATAACCCAAAACCAAAACCAAGCCCATTGCCATCCAGTCGATCCTGGCTCATGGTGACAGAGTAGAACTGCCCCATAGGATTTCCAAGGGGCGGCTGGTGGATTCGAACTGCAGACCTTTTGGTTAGCAGCCAAGCTCTTAATCACTGTGTCACCAG